AAATATAAATAGCAACCCTCGTATTTACTACACATCATTTAGTGACCAAAATTTATTTTTACGTATCCAACATATTTTCCACAGAAAATCCTTTCTATATTTTATGCTTTCTGATTTCGCCACAAGATAGCTTATCTTAAAATTATCAGAATTAATAATGGTCACATAAGTATAGGAAGTAATACTTTCAATTAGATTTTTCTAAATAAAATTGCAGTAAATAATCAACTACACTTTATCTTAGTTAAAAAAATGAATAATTTTAATTTTTGTTTAAAATTGCATTATGTAATAATTATTTCAATTAAAAGTCAAGAATAAGTCAAAGAATTACCGGGGTTTTTTTTGTGCTTAAAATTGCATTATGTAATAATTATTTCAATTAAAAGTCAAGAATAAGTCAAAGAATTACGGGTTTTTTTTTTTTTGCAATACCAAGTTAACTTGATACAAAATTATAAACAAGAACATTTTACTCTTAACATTACATATATTGAAACATCTTACAACTAATTGTTGGCCTCCACAATCATCAATTATGACATCTTCATTTTTTATAATTTTCTTTAAATGTTTAACAGTACGAAAATGAAGAACAGCATTAGCAGCAGCCATTGATTCTGTCATAAATGTCACTGTAACAAAACTACAAAACAAAGAAAAAATTATAATCATAAATAAAACAACAAAGCAAAAATATACATTGAAAATACATTAGAAAGACAAGAAAAAAGTTTAAACTGAAAATTTGGATAATAATTCTTTTTTGGCTCATTTTTAAATAAATAGCAACTAAAAAGCAGTAACTGGAGAGAAAAATAAACTTAATGAATTTAAGAAATTATAACAACTACCATTTTTTCCATGTTTCACCTAAAGTAGTACGATTGAACCTAATTTTATAATTATAATAAAGAGTTTAAAATAATCATAATCTTACTTTTATAAATATTATTAAATTAACCCATTGCATTCCATTCCAGCTCACAACTACTAATCATATATTGTATTCACAAGTAGAATATTAATTTTTATGCTGTAATCTACATAAAACACAACTTTTGAAGCAAAATGTAACTAGCTTAAAGTCTGAGAAAATTATAAATAAAAATTTCACTTGAGTAAACATAGCATAAACTCCACATAATACATGAATTTGGTAATTCATTACAAATTCAACTTATATGATATTGGCAACAAATTATAAATTCGAAACATATTTCAGTAACATACATTATATTTTATTTACCTCATAAAAGCTAGGACGATGAGTATGATAAGACTGAGAAGCCAACCAGCCTCAGCAATGGGTGAAGGCATTGCGAGAGCACCAGTTCCCACAATCAAGTTGAAAACATACATGAGACCCATCTATAACAGTTTATTTAATTGAAAAAACAGAATTAAAACTGAAGAAACAATGAAGTTTATTAGTAAAAAAATATGATCTATTTACACAAGATTTTATAATTCAAGAACTAAAAACCTCCAAACATTACAAAAGTTTATACTAACTTTATGAAGTAATTTTCTACTTATACAGTATATATTTTTATCTATCAAACTGATGAACACAGATTCTGATTAGTCTCAGAGCAAGAAGATATCAAAAATACATAGATACATATAAAACAGGAATTCTATTTTTCGTAGAATCGAATCTGTCAGTCATTATCATTTTAAGGCAGGGTTGGCAAGGTTTAGGACAGAATGGATTAATCCACGGTTTAAACCCTGGTTTAAACCGTCCTGTCCAAAACTGTCTTAAACTGTCCAAAACCTTTTTACTCAAATTATGTCACAATTTTATCTGAATCTATTTTAAGAGGTAAAATAAACATAGAACTAATAACATATTGATAATTAAATATGCCAGAGAATATTTGTTTTTAAAAGTATAATGTTTTATTAATATTGTTTGACTCTTCAATTTAAACAAAGGAAGATTAATCAGTAATCAAGTTCAATTGGTCCTCTCATTCAATAGTACATAACTGAAGTTTGGCCTTGCCATACA